GACTGTTTGTGAATTGGGACATTTCAACTTACTTTTTTAATTCCCATTTAAATTTAGTAGGAGTCGGAGTCGGTTAACTTTTTGCCGACTCCGACTCCGACTCCAGGTACCCAAAATTGTCTCCGACTCCGACTCCTCGACTCCGACTCCACAGCCCTGCAAAGCAGGAGTGTCTAAGTCTACATATTGAGTTAAAAAATATTAGACTCACTAAGAGGAATGTTGAAACGAAGGTTGCATTACAGGCTAAGGATAACATTAAAAGTTTTTTCAATAGTTTAACTCCAATAGAGCTCTAAAAGCTTGAAATCACTAATCTGCAGGATAGTAAGGGCCTGATAATTGAAAATGAAATTGATATAGTTAATGAGTTTAATAATTGTTTTCAATGTAGAGGACATGAGTAACATACCAACGCTTATTCCATAATCCAGTTCTGTATGTGTAACTGAAGCTGGTGTGGTACAAAACCTAGCCAAGCTCAGAATAAATAAATGGCAGGGTCCTGATGGCATTTTGCCTTTAGTTTTAAAAGCGATGAGGGACATAATTTGTCACCATTTAACTTTGCAGTTTCACAAATCATAATTTGTCGGTGTGGTACCTTCTGATTGGAAGCATGCTAATATAATACCAATATTCAAAAAAGAGGAAAGAAGTAATCCAGCAAAATATAGTCCAGTTAGTTTAACTTGCATAACTGGAAAAGTAATAAAAGCTATAATCCAAGTGAAAATGGTAGATTACCTGGATTCATACTGCATAACATTTGGATTTTGTTTTTTGAAATAAAGCTATATATATATATATATATATATATATATACTGTCTCAAATCGAAGGTCGTATTGCGTAGGTTGTCTAAACTTGGTAATTACAGTAATTGGTAATTAGTGACTCAGTATTGGCCCAATGCCTTTTTGGAAAGCTTCTGCTTTTTTGAAAATAAAAAAAATGCATCCTTTATGGAAATAAAATTCCTCCACAAGGCCCGAGGTGTCCTATGAAATTTAAATAAATGAAAAAACATTTTTACTCCAGATTTTGGCCTTGTGCCCAGGCTTAATGGCCTTGTGCCCTAGAAAAAATATGAATAGCCAAGGCCAAAGTGGCTGTGCCCTCCTAAATCCTTATGTCTAGCCCTGTCAGAGGGATAATAGAAGCAAAAATAAGACAATAAATCTACCATCAAAGCCACACATTTCTGAGAGGAAGAGCAAATCTTCTCACCTGTACACACACGAGCAAACGCACACTCGCTTTGGCTGCCGTCGGTCCCAATAGTGACCACACTGAATATATGCTTTCTGCCTGGAGAGAGGTTCTCTATGGTCACACTCCTGTCTTTCACGTTGAGGTGTTTCTTCCTCCCTTTGACGTCCCAAGTAACCATATACTGCTCTGGGTGGCCCAGCATCTCCACTGTTATCTGCCAGCTCAGAGTCACAGTGTCGGAGGTCACATTGTCAACTGTAAGGTCTTGTGGTTGGGGGAGTTCTGGAACAGAGAGTTACTTAGTATTTATGTATTTAAAAAATAATCATCAACATTTTAACATGTGCTTTTTACATAAATTATATCAATTAATTTAAACAACTTGTAAAGGTGATTTTCTTTGGTCTTAAGATCGTTGGAATGATTTTCTTATCCTGTCACACTGTAGTTGAACCATTTACTTTATAATGTCAAAAATAATACACATACTTTAAGGTCAAACAGGGGCATTTCTTGTTACATTCAGTCAAGATTAAAAACACAACATGTTAAAAACTGTTGCTCTTAAGTCTCAAATCTGATCAGTACCCTTTGATATCGTACATGAGGAGTTTTGTCAATAAGGTGACAAAAAAAAGTCTTCTGTACCACAGATAATATAACCATCATATTCACAGCATTATAGTTCTCACACAACTTATAATAACTTCCTTATTATATTACTGATTCAGGAAATGCTTTTATCCAAAGGGACTTCCAGTTGAGGCCGGCTCAGGCAGTACTGGGACAAATTGGTGGTTAAGGGCCTTGCTCAAGGGCCCATCAGTGAAGTCACTCGACCACAACCACGGCATTGAAACAGCAAACTTCCAAACGCAGAAGCCTAACACACAGAGCCACACTCCACCCCATCAAGAGGCATATTCTGCACAACTGCAGCCTCAAGCTGGCAGCATTGAAACATGCTTCATTAATATCCTGCGCATAAATAGACCAAACTTACTTGTGTAGAATGTTGTGCTCGCTGGATCACTCTCCAGTTCACTGTCTTCTAAGACCGTGCACACAGTGACCTCATACTCCATCCCGGGTCTCAGGTCAAACAGCACCACATGGTTCTCCTCTGTGGTGATGGACTTGCTTGGTTGGCCAGTGCTCAGCCAAGTCACACTGAATTTATGTGGAATGCCTTCCATGTCTGACGGTTTCTCCCAGCCAACATTTGCAGAAGTTACATCGATAGAGGAGACAGTCAAGCTTTGTGGTGCTGGCACTTCTAATTGTAAAAGGGAGAGACATTTTAAAGCAAAATCTGAAATTATGAATTATGAAACACTGTTGCTTAAGAACAGGACAGACCTTTTATACATTAAGACTTAAAATTACGATTACTTAGTATTTGGGGGCTGCATTGTGATCCTTAAATATAGACTTTTAATCTGTCATCTAGTTATTTTTGCTCTTAATAGGCCTAAATAGATTTTTTGTATATGAATTGTTACACTGAATGACATTGTACTGGGTGTCCTCTGTAAACTGAGGAAAAACGTGATAGCCATTATTTCTCTGTGGGGACGGAGTTAATCTAATATTATTCAAATAACCCATCTATCCATCCATTTTCTATGACTGATGAAATCTGACTAGTAATTTTAGCTGAAATGTCCTTCCTCAATAAATCAGAGTGTAAACAAGCCAATACCTTTCATGATACCTTCATTCATGTCAAGCACAATTTGAACTTGGTCTTCTTGGCCATCTTTGCTGCTTGTTCTCTCCGGAACATTATCAAATTTCTGCAACTGAAAAGATATCACTTCAGTTTCTCACCTCTAAGCCTGAGGATTTCAATCCTCATTTGGTGAATATGAACATTATGCTGAAATTTATCCATCCTGTCTAAGTCAAAAGTATGATTAACCACTGAGCTCCAATTACTAAGTCAAACCAAGCCAAACCACTACTTTCATTAGTATTAATAGCTGTTCCATTATTTTGCAACAATCCATCTTTGCCTTTTACGTCACATTGACTTGGAATTCCAGGTTCTTATACGGCAATATTTATGCTCATTGGCTAATGAAGAGCTGACAATAAATGCTCATTGGTCACTGGAATGAGGAGGGTGCATCCCAGCTGTCAATGTATGTGTTGTGTCAAGGAGCAATGCAAAAATTTTAACACAGACTGTTCTTTATTTAACCTCCTGGAGCAACTGAGATTTCACAACTAATTTCACTTCCCAGAACATTTAACATTAATTAGTCAGATCAAGTCATGTTACCAGTGGTTACAAAAAGGCTACATTCTACAAGAACGACCCATAAACAGGGTGACTATAGTAGTCCTGAAAGTAAAAAAAAAACAAGTACATTTTTGTGCCACACTCTGCACCTTGCTTGGTGAATTTAATCATACACAAAGGGGTCGCAAGACTTCACCAATGTTTTTGGGGGTACGAGGAGTTTGAGAATGACTGACCTATGGACCCCAGAGGTGTTGGTATGCTATGTTAGCAAGTCTTTTTTCTAAAATATTGTGTTTAAAAATTAAAATGCATGAACTTGGCGTGAAAGCTTACCCCCACTAATTGCCAGGCCTCCATATTGTTACCCAAAGTCTCTACACCATCTTCAGTAACCAAAGTGTTTTTATCCACATCCACCTCAACTGGACACTGATCAGCAGCCTCTTCTTGGGATTCGGGTCCTGCATCAAATGAGTTGAGAAGACGTTATACCAGTGTCCCAAAAACATGGATACAGGGTGTGATTATCAACCTTTACTACCTATTAGCATCACCTTGATTAGAGGACAGTGGCTAACCCAAAAGCTTAAAAGATGAGGTAATAGATCATATATAACCTGTAACCTGACTTATAATGGAAATACCAGGCAAGATTATCTTTATAATAACTTCGATGAAACATTTCATCAGAGCAAGAGAAAGTCAGCATCATCTGTGAGGGATAGGGCTGTCACGTTTTTCAAAAATCAAGTTCGAACAAATTTCAAATGTCACGCAAATTGTTCGAATATAGTTGAATACCTGTGATTGGTGGTGTTGCTAGAGATTTTGGGCCCCATGAAGGTATATCACATTGGGCCCCCCAGTCCAGACAGATCCAATCCAAATTTTTCAGGCTACCTATCACTCAGGGGCCCTTGGAATCGTCCGAACTTCCCTCACTTTATCCCTGCCTGTGACCCCGCCCCCCCAAAAAACTCAATGCAGAATCAATCTTTTAATAACAGCACGTCACATTTGTACAGAGACACTAAAAGGTCAGGGTGAGTGTTAGCTGATCCGAGCGGCCAAGGCGAGCAACTAGGGCTGGGACAATTATTCGACGTAATCGATGATGTCGATTACAAAAATGCGTCGACATGGAATTTTAGTGTCGCCCCGTTGTGTAAAACTACGTAAATGTTTTGTAACTGCAATGCACTAAGTGATAAGCTAAATGTATTGTAAGGGAAAGTACTTTATCCCCTAGGAAGCACGTTAACGCTGTCCTTTTAAGAATCATGCAATAAAACAGTCTGCTAATAATTGAATTTTACTGTCCACCTGATGATCTCTTCACCACTCGAGAGCTATAATATTTTATTTATTGGACCTGCGGCATGGTTTTCATTTACAATACAAAGTTATTCCGCTAATAAGCTGGCTAGTTGTTTCACTGCTGGCACCGTTAAAACTATATCAATTATAGACTGAATTCCGATATAGTTTTGTCTAATATCGCTGGTGTCAGCAGTTCCGCACTATTGTGTAAGGCATGCACTGGCCAATCATGTAGCACTTCTCTCATAAATATTGAGACATCTCCTACTACCCCTGCAAAAAGGAGAAACATCTGGCCAAAAAGACTCACACGCGGTCTTCCAAAGTTTGGGAATACTTCAGTCATGACACCTTTTCTGCACCTCTACTGTAGCTGACGTTAATGACGCTGTTTCAGCCAGTTTATATTTTCTGTTTACTTATTCTGTCATGTAAGAGTGAGACAAATTATCGTTTACGACTACTCTTACACACTGTAGCCTAAATCATTCCTTGCTCACTGAAGTAACCTTAACTATAAACTACTTTTGCTAGTGTTTGTTAAAAACATTCTCTAGTTATGAAATCATTCCATGTTTTAGCATCTATTTCAATATTAAAGTCAAATTGGTGTACCAAAATAATCAAGTAAAAACTATTGCAGTGATTATTAACTTCAGTCTAACATAGAAATCCTATTGAATCTCTTAAGATTTGCCTTTTTTGTTCATAATGCTCTAATGTTTATGAAATGTTTTAATAAATTGAAATGTTAATAAGAATTTCAGATTTGTGTGTGTGGGGGAGGGGGTGAATTATTGTATTAAATGACCAACTTGAAAATAATTGCTTATCTAAAAAATAAAAAAAAGTTTTAAAAAAATGCTTATCAATAAATTTTTCATCAGATCAATTGAAAAATTAGTTGTTAGATTAATCGAATAATAAAAAATAAAAAAAAATTACAAATATATATCGCTAGATTAATCGTTTAAGTACTAAGATTCAGTACTAACTCCACCACTGCAACTAACTGGCATGTACTATACTGAAGTTGATCCATTATACATACCCCATGAATAGTTTTACGTTACTAATAATGACTCAATCTACTGTGTCCGTTTAAAGCAGGGGTATTCAACTAAAATTTAAAGAGGTCCAGTTAGAGAAAACTTCTTGAAGCAAAGGTCCGGAAGATCATAATGTCTAACTATTTAGTGTGATCTATATTTAAGTAGCCTATTAGTTGTATACCAACATTGCATGTAATCAGTACCTGACTGTCAAACCAAATTAATTCAGTACAATTCAAAAACGTTTTGACAATATTTATTGTCACGTGACATAGAACTTTGGCCAGCTGGCTGGAGTGAGATTTTCAGTTCGAGATGTCTGCACACATGTAACAGTTCTTACCTTGTAAATAGTCTGCTTTTGTATTTAACCGTGTAAATACACTTTTGACGTAGCTAATTTTAGGTTTTATAATATAGATTTGCCGTAAGATTTCCAGCGTGAGTCTGATAGCGTGAGTGTCATGCCAGATGCTTGAGATTTGGCAGCCATGAAAATGTATATTTTTTGTTTCACCCGAGTTTATTTATATAACAGATAACATTACTTTATACATATGTTAAAAAGTAGAAACTTCAACGAACATGAAATCAACAATAAACTACGTCTATTTATCCAATATGTTATATAATACATACTGTATTTGAAAACTGTTCAGCTTTACGATTTCAGGACAGACCAGTCACTCTGTTAGGAACATTGCGGCTTTTTGGTTGTGGTTTTAGCTTCGATGCTACTACTAACACTAACGGCACATTAGCGCAGACATAGGGCTGCATACGCCGAACTACATCTTGCTTGGCTTTCAAAGCCGTTTGACGTTCATTGGCGTGGGAAACGGCGGCTCTACTGCTAAACCACTACCGAAAAGACTACAAACGCTGCGCCGGTTAAAATAGAAGGTTTTAAATAACAACTTAATGTTTTGGCTATCGGTCCGGGTCCGTATGTGACAGCTTCTGGGTCCGGACCCGGCCCGCGGTCCGCCTGTTAGTGACCTCTGGTTTAAAGTATAAAACATACAATGAATGGACTAAAAAGTATAAATCTAAACTATACAGTTAAGCGTGATTTAAGCATTAAACTAAATTTGGGCAAGTGTAGTGGGATCACAAACCTATTGTCAGGGAACACAAAAGAATTGTGAGGGAATTTAAAGTATTTCAAAAAATATTTTCCCACCCTGACCTTTTAGGGGCTCTGGAGATGGTAAACAATGAAGTTACAACAAATGGTCTAATGCACTTATAGCTACAGTAACACTTTAAAATCCGAATGGTTAATTATACTTCTGTTACGAATTTTTCACATTATGTTCCAATAAATGTTTGAATATCAGTTAAAAAGTGAGGGATTTGTTAATTTGAAAACTAAAATGTTTATTAACGTAGCTTGAATCCTGCAGCCTAGCAGGGCTTCAGACCTTTCTTTAGCTTATAAGTACTTCTTACTTGCTGGGAGTATTAGGCTAATAATGAAACCAGGATACCAAATGCATGCTAGGTTACAGACACAGAGAACTAATAAGTTATATTATGACTGAACACATGATTCAAATCCAGAAACATTAGCATTTCAGTTCATCTGCTTATCCCAGTGGTGCGCCACTGTGGTCATTTTGACCGATACTGATGACTAGTATAGGCCAGTATTTCTCTCTAATATTACCTATAGCAATATTTTCTGGATAATTTAAGTTGTATTCAAATTTTCTTTGTTTTTTTATCAAAGAAACATGAACTTCCTGATTTCAGTCTCATTAGCAGTGTCTGAACTGCCTACTGTTTAAAAGGTCTTAAAACAGCTAAGTATGGCCTCTCACTATATGGAAAACACTAGGGGTCATAAATAAAAACCTGTTCAAAACCTGTGGGGTGTCCTACGAAGCGAGATGTACATACCCAGAGTTAACTTAATAGAGCTAATAGAGTTACCAACTTGGGTTTCTGAATGTTCAGTGTAGGGAATACCCCCCCACACACAGCAAACAGTAACGTCATCACCCCTCCCCCACCCTAGCAAGAGGCCGCAAAGGCGCTGGCACAAAATATCAGTATCGCCATAATAACCTTAGTATTATAATTACTTGGTATCGGATTAAAGGGAAATCTGCAGTATCACCCATTCCTACTACCCTATTTAGTCAAAGAGAGGGTCTATATAGGCTACAGTTATTGGTGTTTTGTTGAAGGGATGGCAGGGCTAGACATAAGCCGCGGCACCGCGGCCAATGGCCGTCGTGCCTTTCAAAATTG